ACACCACTCAGTAGGCGCGGGGCGACCTACTGGGGGAGAACTGAGTTCTGTTGAGCCTTAGGGGCATAGGTCAACAGGGCCCAGCCTCGAAGAGCCCCGTGCTCTTGAACACGAAACGTGTATGCAAGCCGGGATTGCTGGTCGTGGAGACGACCGTAACGGGCTTCGAAAAGCCATGGAGTATCCTCACCGATTCCGGGGCGTCGGGCAATTATGCTCGACGCATAACGATGGAAGGAAGTCAGCTGTATGCTGAAGCGCTGAAAACGCTGTTGGGTGACATCGTCACTGTACGTTTAGCGACGGGGACACGTGTCGCGTTCCCGAAGGTCCTTGTGGACCTTGGATTATAGTTTCTTGACTTTGATAGCGTGGAACGCTGTCTAGTCTTAGACTTGGATGCAAGGTATGACCTCATCCTAGGAATGGCATGGTTAAAATACCATGAGCCATGGATTGATTGGAGGTCAAAAACCTTGGGTGCTACGCGCACGTCTCCTGGTGGAGCTTTGGCGAGTCATGAATCCACCTCTGCCAGGAGACAAAATCGCTATTGGCGAGAGCACTGGACCGAGACGGTCAACGTGCTGGACATTGAGATGTCCGAGTTGGTAGACACCAACAGTGTATCAGACAGGAGTCCCGAGCGTGGCTCGCGGGCTGATCGTGGAGTGGCACGTAGCCTACTGAGCGCTGCTCAAGTTTGGAGCAGTCGCTGCATTTCATGCGTGACATGGTCGGCCAAGAACCGAGGCATCGATGGCGAGGCCTCCGTGATGCACGTGAGGTGGCACGTAGTTCACTGAGCGCTGCCCGAGTATCAAAGCAGTCGCTGCATGTCATGCGTGACATTGTCGGCCAGGGGCCGAGGCCCCCGTGACGCACGTGAAGTGGCACGTAAACCACTGAGCACTGCTCATGTTGCGAAGCAGACGCTGCATGTCATCTATGGCGTTGTCGGACAGAGTTCGAGGCATTTTGAGCGCGGCCCTTCAGATGCGCGTGGAGTGGCACGGTATCCACTGGACGAAGACTGCGGGTTTAGCAGC